GAAGCTAGCAGCCCTACAAATAGACTTTACCACAAACACAATAACAAATAATCATGTGTATTCACATTCTAATTCCCTTTATGCAATCAGACAACACCCCTAACCATAATCACAGGAGACCCGAACGCGTAACAGACTCGAGCTGATTATTATCAAAACAAAACCACAATAGCAATATAATTATCACCCATATGAAGTCGCAACGCCAACAGCTTCTTGATTAATTTGATACCACATCCCAAATCCCAGCACATCCGATAATCATAAACTCAATATCTTCGCTCAATACCATTTGTCTCACATCTTGTTTTCTAAGAAGGGATGATTTTCTAACCGATTGTTAACTCCATATGCCAGCCTCGTAGGGCCCGCAGGACCGCCAGCTCACAGTTGAGATGCCCATCTTCTGCATACCCACCTAATTCTTCCAGTCTCTTCTTCTCATCTAAATAACACGAGATATCTTCTTGTGACAATGGAATTGTGATTCCATTCCGACACAAGACTGCATTAGATTGATCGAGACAAAACGAAAGCTAATCGACCATGCTTACAAAGACTCTCGGTAATGGTTTTCCGGCAATCGTGTGATTCTCCCGTAGAATATCACAATCGATTCATGCTTGTTTTACAAAAAACAGTATTTCCTGTTTTCTTTGTTGTTCTCGCAAGAGATTCTTCGGAGAGCATCACTAATGATTGATGTTTTTTTACTAAAGCAATATGTGTTTCCACTTTCTTATTAAGTAGTGACTGAGCGATTCTTCTATCTCTTGGAAAGAGGTGCTAAAAGGCCATTTCTCTTTACTCAAACGCTTGTGAAAGTTGTCTTCTAAGGGTTTAAAATCCTGAAAACCGGTATTAACAATTTACATTTGTTGTATGAGGATTAAAACAGTTAATGTGGTTCTCCCATAGTTAAGGGTGTTCACGAACTTGGTTCGGTTCGGATATTCATAAATTTGTGAACGTGACCACGGAGCAGATATCTAATGTGCACTGACCGAAACCAAAGCGAATTGTGTAAAAAACCGAACCGGACCGCACTGTTTGAAGGTGGGTAAGCACGGTTCAGTTTACAGGTACACAGTAAATATAACAAATCGAAAATATAATAAAAAATACAAACTACCAATATCTCAGTTTAGAAGTAAGAAGACTTGTTGAAGTTAAAATTATACATTATAATTTATATAATAACTATAAGAATAAAATTAACCATAAAACATGATTTATGAATATAAAAACAAAGTCTCAATTTCAAGGATAACCATACATGCACGTAGAAAACATATACCATACAATTTATAAGAAAACAAACAGACACACGATATATGAAGCAAATAAAGCGATAAAAATCTAAACTTCTAAGTTCGAATAGAAAAATACCATAGACATAAACGAGCATGTTAGATGAGAAAACATATATCATCCGGTTTCTTATTTTATTAAGTCTATTTAATTTAATTACTTTTACATTAACTAATATATATATATATATATATATATATATATATATATATATATATATATATATATATATATATATATATATAACGGTTCGGTACAGGTATCTGCGGATATCGAAATATCCAAATCGTAACCGACCCAATGATAGTTGGTTTCTTCGGTTTCGTTTTCGGTTTCAGTTTTTCCGGTTTCGGATTGGCCGGATGGGCTTGGTTTTTTGGTTTTGCAGTTTTTTGCATACCCCTTCCCATAGTAACTGTTGATGCTACTTTTGTTTGTGAGGGTTTGGTCAGCTACTAGAAAGGCTTCCCATTGTGAATGTTTTAGATCCTTTAAAAATGATTAATTCACAGGCCATGATTTAGGGGGGGCATGAGGGGCAGCCGCACAATACTCCGAAAAAAAATACAGCCCGAGTTTTAATTAAAATATATATTGAAAAAACTAAATATATATGAATTTATTCAAAATATTTTATAGAGTTAAGGTAGCCCAATTGGAAAAGACTTGTCTTTTATTCAAAAGCAATGTTGGTTGTATCCTATTTCATAGCTTTTTGATGTTTTAAACTCAAGTTACACATTTGACAATTTCTTTATGCTATATATTTCATAATCAACCCCTCCTTCTAATATGTTTAATAAATCAGTTTTTCAGTAGTTTCATAATTAGCCATTGAACTTTTTATAAAATTCCATATGATCCTTTTTTAATTAATTTATTTAGTTATAAGTTTTCCGTAACGAAAATTCACCGTCTTAAATTTGTTTTCCTTATATATTAAAAAATTGTATTTAGGGCCCTATTTTTCACTTAGCATAGGGCCCTTAAAATCATAGAGTCGGCCTTGTTAATTCATATATGAAGATTGTGGGAGCTCGTAATCTTGAAAGAATAATTCCATGGAGTGATTTTTCAAGTATGATGTTGTTTCGGAGCCGCCATGGCCGTCAAAAATAGCGTAGAAGGAAAATGGAACTTGGAGTGGTCATTTTGACATATGATGCACTCATCTTAGTTTGCTTTGCATGTGAGTTCCGATGTCTATGTGAGACTTCATGATCTCATGTTTAGGTTGAATCTTTTTACCGGGGGCTGGGGCGTGGGGGGTTGGGGGGGAGTAGATGGATTCAAGACTATTTGGACGGTTTACAATGTATCGAAAGGTGAATACAAATGCATTAATCCATGAGATAGATGAAAATGAAGCACGATTCAATTTACAAATCATGTCTAGATGGCTAAACAAGATAGTAGGTGTGTAACTAGAACAACCAAACTAGCATTTGTAAACTCATTTCAAAGATATTAATTATGTTTGTAAAAACAATTAACCTGGTGCGATCCCTTAATTTCTAATGGTTTCGTAATGTTTAGGCCCAATTCAACAAATTTATCTAACATTCCAGTGTAATGTATCAAATGCTCTTCACAGCAAGCCTTCCATTATAAGCCATAAAGATTTAAATACAACTTTTAATAATGATACATATGATCTATATAACCTAAATTAATTGTTCTATTGTCTAATTATATAAACTTCCATTCACATTTAAAATAGAAAACTTGATAGCCTATTTTGAATGGATTACTCTTAAGTTCACTTCGTTATATAGAAAATAACATGAAAGTGTTCTTTACCTTCAACCACAACTCTTCAACTTAAATCCAAGCAAAACTAATGAAATACTCATCCGAAGAGAGAAAAGTCACAGCCCTATTCAATCAAATATAGTTTATTATTATGAATTAATCAAAACTAATAATGGAATTCAATGTATTGTAGGGTATTCAAAAATTTCACACATGGATTGTTGGAATTGATATTGAAATTTGAACATACTCAGTTTAATGAAATTTGAATAAATCGAGAATCACACCGGAACATAAAGTCTTAAAGGGTATCCTTAAATTTCACAGAGGATAGTAGGGATATTGATATTAAAATTCGAAAAAAAAAATAAAACAAGACATGTATATTCAGTAAGAATTTGTTTGACTGAAATTAGGTATCTAAATCATATTAAACAAAATTTGATGAAGTTAGAGTTTGTTGTGGGAGTGTAGATCAGTGCAACTATGTATATATAAGTTAACGGTTTTGAGTGTATCATGCATATATAGTTAGATTATATTAATTCGTTTGGTCAAAATTGCTAGATTTGTAATATGTTCATATATTTAATGTTTTATATTATTTTGCATCGAGACTAACTTATTGATATTCTATTATAACAATATACGTTTCTACAGAACATAAAAAGAGTATATTGCCCTTAATAGATTATTTTGTATTTTTCTAATTTCTATTATTTTTTATTCATTTTAGATTCACCATCAACTCTACTGCCTGGTATCCGCAACAATTCGTTGGCAACCATTTTGTTCTTCACCCCGACACAATTCTTCTATATATCAAATGTCGTTATTAAACAAATTAATATAATTTATCTATGTCGCACTCATCCACAACTTATTCTTATGTTTCGAATGTAATTATTGTATATATCAATTGTCATTTTAAAAGATTAAAATAATTCGAAGTAATAATGTAGTTGGTCATATTTTATTAATAATATATTATATTAAGCTTATATCACACAAAAAATGTAAATAGATATATTGAAAGCTAATAATCCAAAGGATACTTTTGAAAATCTAAATAAATCTAAAAAAGAGAACTTGCTATGGGTATATTTGTAGTGCAAAAAATTGTATAAGGTAAGGTGAAATAGTATCAGGACAAGTTTTTACACTATTTTGATATAAAAAGTTAGAATCGGACTGTGGTATTTAAAGACACTCAAATATATGAATTCGCTAACAGAAACATAGATGATAGAGATAGAAAGATAATTACAAGTTAACTAAGAATTTGGAATCAATGTTTAAAAACCGGTTGTATAGTAGAACCAGTATGGTGTCCAGGTTTGGTTCAACAGTTCGATCGCCGGGTTAGCCGGTTTCTATAATTTTCATTTTTTCTATTTTTATATATACATACATATATAAATCATAATTTGACGTTTACAAGTTGAATACATTAAAATATATTTATATAAAATAAGTTGTAGATGATTCCAAATACATTAAAATAACACATAACTATAAGTTTTAATGTTTTACGTCAATCCATATAAGTGAAAAACAGTATAATGCCGAAACAAAATATAGTTTTATATGAATATATACGCATCAAAAAACTTTATAACATTTAACATCTGTTTTATTTATAAAAAACTAAATATATTGAAAAAAATAATCAAAGTTTATTATGCAAAATGATTCTTTTTATGTATTTTTAGTCGGTTTAACCGGTTTAATCGATTTATTTTCACCGGTTCAACCGAGTTTTTCTACAAACCGGTCGTTCAATCTGGTTCAGAAATTCACATAAAACCGGTGATAGTTGAACCGTAATCTCCTCCGGTTTCGGTCCAACCGGTTCGACAGGCCGGTTCAAAACAATTTTTAAAACATTAGTTGGAATCAAATTTTCAAATATTGTAAATTGATTAGTAAACCGTACCATGTCAACGACACGTATCAACCCGCAACAAAACCTACGTACGTGGAACGTTAATTGGCGAATAATAGCCAAAGGATTCTTAATCATTGTCGGATCTACTATGTATCCCGAGGTAGCCCGAGATACCCCTAAAAAAAAATTTAGTGGTGTAATTTTTTTCGGAGTTATTTTTCCTTATTGTATATTACGCGATTTTTTGTTGGGATACCATTTTATATATTTGGGACACCCATTACTTTGATCCTGGATCCGCCACTGTTCTTAATGTCAATTGTTCTACTATATTTTTACCAATTGTATATGTACATCTTGATATATAGTACATTTACTTTGATGCAAGAACCAAAGGATTAAAACGTAACATGATAAGGTCTTGATTAATTATGTGGAATGATGAATAATGTTACGTACTAATTAAGCAATATATCAATGATACTAACATGATTTTACCTGCATGTGTAATTTACAAGAGAAATATGCGGCTAGATTGGTAAAAGTTTGAATCTGTTATTTTTACAGAATCAATGGAAAATATTTTCCCCAAATAAAAGAATAGTGGATGTAATTTTAGATATAATTTATAAATCAACAATGAGACAAAATTAGACACAAACATGCACAAAATGGACAAAATTGTAGTATGTCTGTGCATTCATAATTACTTGGTTTTCTTAAAAGGGAAAGTGAATATCCAAAGGATGTTTTATTGCCGTAGAGGAACATCTGTCACTTGAAAAAAATATACACATAGTTGACTGTTAACTTGGCTTTCTGTTAAGCAAAAGGCTATATTAGCACAACCCATTTGCCTTGCTACTCATCCAGCAGCATTGTAAAGAGTAACTAGCAACATCTAAATTCTAAAAGGCAATGAAGAATTTCCGTTTTGTTCTGTTCTTGGTTCTCCTGGCAACAACTTCATTGGAGATCAATGCTCAGACTTGCAAAACCAAGTGGTGGTATCCGGGGAAGAAAACCGCCTCCAGGAGAATGCAACCGTGAGAACAACTCGGATTGTTGTGTCCAAGGTAAGTTTTTACACCACGTATACATGCTCGCCTCCGGTGACAGGCGATACTAAAGCAACACTGACAATAAACAGTTTCCAAAAGGGAGGTGATGGTGGTGGTCCATCGGAGTGTGACAACCAATACCACTCTGATGACACACCAGTTGTGCGCTGTCAACGGATGGTACAAGGGAGGGGATAGGTGCCACAAGTATATTACCATCAATGGAAATGGGAGAGTGTAAAGGCAATGGTTGTGGATGAGTGTGACTTACTATGGGGTGCGATGGTGATCATGACTATCAACCACCTTGCCCTAATAATATTGTTGACGCATCCAAAGCAGTGTGGAAGGCCTTTAGGGGTATCCGAGGATAACTGGGGAGATTTGGATATTACTTGGACAGAGTGATGTTAATCTAGCTCTCCTTTTAAAAATCAAATACTATTTCTGTTTCTTTTCTTGTGGATATTGTAATCTGT